AAAATTTTAATATGCTTTGGTCTGATTTGGTAGTTTTCAGTTTCAATTTTTCTAATCATGAATGCCCTGAAGTTTTCCCCAATTTAATGTTGAATTTTCAGAAGATTGTATCTGATGTAAATATTGGGTCTGAATAAGCTTTGCCAATTAACGGAGAATTGTTCTGTTTTTATTAATATTCCGTTTAAGGAACTGCAATAAAAGCATTAATAAACTCCTCCTGGAGTGGCTTTTCTTTGCCCAATAAAAACAGAATTTTAAAGGTCAATATTGGCATCTCCATAGGATTTGGGTCTTTGAAACGAGCCAACTGCAGTGTGACAAACTCAACAAAGGCCATTACCGCCGAGAATTGCTCTCCGAAATGGCAGTTCTTTTGAACTTCAGCTCGATATCCTACTTTCAATGTCGAAAGGAGTTCAAATATTCAGCTTATCTTTTAAATCCTTCTAAGACGACCGTCACCAAAGTCCTCATATTCTTCATGATTAATAGGTTTTTTGTCTCCAGGTGTCACAGACACATAAATGAATAGCAAAGCAATTTTTTAGATGCTGCTGAAAGTTCAATGAAATCTTAAATGCGTGTTTGAAAGAGTTAATATTTAGGGACTTTTGCCTAATTTGTGTCCTTGTCGAACTTTGATAAGTAAACTCACATTAGGAAATGTTTATCAAAATTACATTTAACCCAATAAAAACACAGAAAAGTGTATTTACAGGAGGTGACATTGGTTTGGTTTAATTACCAAGTGGAAATAATTTATTAGAACTATTTGTCCAACCGGTGTAATATATTTTGGGTTGTTTGAACTAATTGGCCTCTTGGTGCCTCTAGAAGGTTAATTGCTCGCATTAGATAAGGTTTGTAACTCGAGAAAGCGGGAAAAATTAGTTTTACCAGATTTTGGGATAATTCATAAATTCGGCATTCGTATGGGAAATGTTTCCATTATGCAAACCCAGAAACGCTTCCTTTGTCGAAAGTATGCACTTTGGTGAATGTATGTCATCGCGGGAGAAGTCTGTCCTGCTTGGCAATAAATTTTTAGTAAAAAAATTTGGGTGTTTTGATGGGAAGAATGATGTTACTGGAATTATCAGTCCGGCAACGCTCCAGTCATTGTTTGGTTTTTATCAGACAGACCGTTCACCTCGTCAAAATTGCGGTATTTACGAAATTGTGCTGTAAATACAAACATGTCGAAATTGTCGATTTCTTGCGTACGTTTATTGGCCACAATAAAGCGTTTTGGCGCAATCATCCGCTGGGATTTTTATCCGGGAAAAGTGTTTAAGGCCGGCGATTTTATTGCGACACGTCTCTAATACACGGTGTTCGTGTAAAAGGAGTTTTTCCTGCGTACAACGTAATAAATTTGCGTGCTAGTACAAGTATTCAACCCAATTAAAAGTTATTTAAGTAGTAGAATGTTGATTCTGTAATGTTTGCCAGCGTTGGATAAAACGGCCAGACCGGCTTCGATTTTCTATCGAATCGATGATTGGTCGTGATTTTGTGTTCCTGCCGAAATGTGGTATATTTACGGTTCAACGATCTGTGACGTCATTAGGTTAGTAGGTTAGTCGTATTCAGGACGACGAAAAAAATTCTACATCCACCTTCTTCGACACCATCATCGTCCAATCTCTTTTGTTGCAACCGGATCAAATTATCTGCTTCTATGACATATCGACTGACACACATACCGGACCAGTAAAATTACATATAAAGATAACAATATCGCCGCTTCAAAAATAAACCACGGCTGAGGTCATTGATCTCTTCACAAACTCACGTCGTTTTAATGTTTTTATGCATGCAATGCACGCCTCTTTATTTTTGTAACTTTATATTTCAACACTGCTCCTGCTCCATTGATCTATGCTTAACCCAGTCCTGCTACATCAATTGTTGATCCTTTGGCGCCTCGAGGTTTCTTATCAACCCAATTTACCACTGTTTGCTCGTAAATAAGCCTTTATCTAGTATTTGTTTACGCTCACCCCACGAAAAACATTTTTAGACCACAAGGTATTAAATCAGGTGATTCATTATTCAAAATTTCTGCAAGATTTATCACTCGAAACTTGGACTCTAGCCGCGACTTTGATGGAGACATAAATCTTGCATGCTCCAACCTATGGCCATTTTGTACCAATTTCACGATAAACAGTGGCGTATCTAGGGGAGTTTACCAGCTCCCCACACCATTATTTTATTCTTAACAAATTTTATACACAGTGTTTGATAAATCCCATTGTTTTTGCATCATATTTCTTATGAAAAATTGGAGTAATAGGGCTGACTTTTTTAACTCGATAAACATTTTGTGTAACAATTTGGCACAATCCAATAAAAACTGAAGGCAAATTTTGAAGATTTTGGTGACTGATTACATTTTTAATTTTCACAGATTTTTAATAAGTCAATAAGAAAATAAGAACTTTATGGATACGCCACTGCGGAGTATTACGAAATTATTATTGGAAAAAGGATCGAACGGAGTTGGGGTTAATAAAAGATGTTCCAATTATTTTTTATATCTACTTATCGATAGAAAGTCGGCCCGAAATCGCGATTAGGGATTCAAACCCATCTCCGGAAGAAGTTTCGAGTCACAAACGCGCTGAAACTCTCCAGAGCATGGTACAAAAAGTTGAAAGAACTTGGCTTGCACGCTACGGGTTTAGTTTCTTATGGCATAATTCCAAGTTGCTTATAATTTTTTGCAAATATATTTCACATAAAATCTCTATTTTAATTAGTGCGAATCTCTTTTGTTGGAAAAAAATCCTCACGAGAGCATTGCCAGGAGCCATGTACTAGGAATAATTAAAGTACGGGGCTCTCGTAATGTACCACTCTTGTTTCTTTATTTTGCAATTAAACATTGCGGGCCGAGGATCCCCTCGAGACCTGTGGGTACTTGGTTCATTACGTAATCCTAGTGTATTTTTCGTTTGTTCCGCTCGGTAGTCTGATGCCAGTCTAGGGATCGATGTTGGGTCGGCTCCAACACGTGACCTTTGTGAACTCCGGTGACCTCCCGGTGCAACGCACTGAACAAATACACATTACACTAAACGAATAGTGAACGACTTAATGAAACCGAAGGGAAAACGGAAACGGAAATAATTAATAAAGCCTATTTTTGTCAGTTCCGGATTTTTTGGGGTAAATTGTGCTTTGGCACGTGAAAAAGTGCACAGGGGACGGGTTACTTTGGGAATAACAAAGTTACAAAGTTATTGGTACGTTAAAATTGATTTTGTTTATGTTTCGGTGATAAACACATGAGAATTCCCATGTGTTCTTAAAGAAACTAATTACACACACAAATATCGTCCAAACATTACTTTCTTCCACTCGATGTATAATTTGTTACGGTATTGTAAATAACGATAAGTGGTTAAAAGTGGATGGTAACACACTTAAACATTTTGTTCCAATTGAAGTACTTGTCATTTCGAAATGGTTCTGCAACAAGACAAATTTCCGACAAAGTAAACCAATTTAGACTTGTTAACAATATCGGTATATCAAAGTCATCTCTTAACACACTTGGCAACAAGAGCTGTCAACACTTTGATAATTGCACCTGTCAAAATGAATTCGCTTGTTGGCAACACCTCTTGACTGGAATTTAGCAGTGTATTGTTCTAGGACACTCATTTAAAGATATAAACGATGAACCAAGACGCTACTTTAAATTTTATATGCGTTTTTGTCGACAACTGTATATTCTGCAGACGATTTGCTATCAGCAGATGCTTCTTTGGATAACGAACGTTTTCTGTAAAACTAAATAGATGAAGAACTTAGTAAAAATTTGGTAAAGTCATTTTTTTAACTCCGCCTTGTTTAGTAAAATCTTTGTAGTCCAGTCAACGAACAAGAAATGTAGAATGCTTGGTTGTGAAAAGAATTTTATTACTTCAGGATCTTTTAAGTTCAGCGCGGTTTCTGTGGCACCAAGAAGATGCCGTTTTATGCCTTTTATAGTGAAATTGGTTAAGTCAGATTTGCATTCACTTATTAAGACGATACGAAACAACTAGAAAATAAAACTTTAAACCTTAAAAGAGAAATAGCAATGTTAGTATTTCACCCATTATGTGTGGCTACAAACACAACATATTGGCGACGATGATACCGAAGTGAAAAATAAAGAGATGGAACAATAATCTCTATTTCTTGGAGGAAGGTACGTAAAGACTATTTTCTATAAGCTGCAGAGGCCTACAGTTCAATTTATGATCATCACATTACTTTCGCTGTAAACTTACGTGATTTAGGCACCATGATACAAAGTGAAACAAAAAAATATTTTTTAAAGAGTGCGATATTTGCTCGAAAATTATTTAAAATACAAAAAAACCGAATAGATTTTATAAGGTTTTATTTAATACATAACCATTTCTTTTGTAACACGCACCATTTTTGTAATATAAGCAAGAAACCATAAAAAGGCACCTTCTTGGTGCTTTCCTGCGCTTTGCTCACCTGCTCGAAGGACAGGGAGAACTTTCAGAACTAATCTAAACTAGTCTAAACCCAGTCCTGAAGTCAAAAATTTTGTTCCCAACCATATTTTCTACAACCTTTTTTTAAACACTGATTGGACTATTTTAGTTCACTCATTAAAGAAGCCAGTGGGTAGAATGTGCTAACTAAGCTTCCCTGATTGCTTGAAATTGCCATGTAGATGAGTCTGGTAGTAAATTCAACTGTAGATTTGCAATATTGACTATTATTTGATGTTTTTGATCTTTCCACAAGACTAATTTTTGACCTTCGTGCGTGAGAAACTGATGATTATAAAGTAAAATGTCGGGTCGTTACATGCCATCTAATTCCAGTGATCATATGGCAATTTTGAAACGATTCAATCTTGTCGCAGACAATCCGAGTAAAATGACTTCTTTGGTAGTCATTCAAGTATAAAACTAAACACAGGTTTCGTGTCTATAAATCAGTGAGTTTTTTTTTGTTTACAGGGTAGATACAGCAACAGTTCACTTTCCATGTCTTATAACCGACCACCGTCCACTCCCGCTCCATTTGGCCTTTCGCGGCCTCACCGTGAGCGCCGGTTCTCGTCAGATCCTCCAAGATGTGGATGGCTTGGTCCGTCCTGGCCAGATCCTAGCCGTCATGGGCCCCTCCGGATGCGGCAAAACCACTCTCCTGAATTGTTTAAGTGGACGCTTGAAACTAGATTCTGGTCAAATTTTCTTCAACCGAGATCTACTGTGCAAGAGATGGAAGAGAAAAATCTGTTACGTACTCCAACAAGACATTTTTTTCCCCGATTTGACTCTGCGACAGACTTTGGAGTACACCGCAAGACTGAGATTACCAGACACGATGAGCCACTCCCAAAAAATGCAATACGTTGACCACATTATCGACGTTTTGGAGCTACAACACTGCCAAGATACCATTATTGGGGATTACATCAAACGGGGGTTGAGCGGGGGAGAGAAGAAACGGGCGAATATCGCCTGTGAGTTGCTTACGAACCCTTCCTTGATGCTTTTAGATGTAAGTCAAAGAGTTTGAAGTTTGAGGAAATTTTCTCAAGGGAATTTTTAGGAACCTACGTCGGGGTTAGATTCGCATGCAGCGCATAGTCTGATGACCACATTGAAGAGGTACGCGGTCACAGAGGGCAAAACTGTGGTTATTACCCTTCACCAACCCTCGTCCCAGATTTTCCATCTATGTGATAAGTTGTTGCTTCTATGTAACGGACAAACGGCGTACTTCGGTGATACCTGCAAGGTAGTGGACTTTTTTAGCAACATTGGACTGAATATCATGCCACATTACAATCCAGCCGATTTTATATGTAAGTCGATTACTTCACCGGAATTGTAATTAAGTCTAAATTTTTAATTCCATTTCAGTGGAACAAATAAAAGGATCAAATGAAGTGAGGCAAAGGATAATATCAGCAGCGCGGGAAGCTCGCAAGAACAAGGATTACCCCATTGAACTCCAATCCGACTGTTCATACATCACCGATAAATACACGGATCATCACACGAATAAAATCCTCCCCCCGACGCATGGTCCTTATCCAAGTTTAGAACGTCAGTTTTACCCCACTTGGGTGTTTTCCAATCTAATAATTTTGATTTCAGAAGACACAATCAATTCGATGGAGCCCGACGTGCGAAGACTATGGCTCGACACTCATTCCCACGCGTCCTCTTCGGTGAGTTCGGAAACCAGCGACGCGGATTGCTACTTCTCGTGGCCTACCAGCTTCTGGACGCAGTTCAAAGTATTGTCGCAGAGGAATTTCCAAGAAGCGCGGCCTAGAATGTTGTCGAAACTTAACTGGGTACAAACGATAGGTTTAGGTTTACTCGCCGGCTTGCTCTGGTTTCAATTGGAGCGAAGAGAGGAGGCTTTGCACGATATCCAAGGCTGGATGTTCTTCTCGACGACGTATTGGATGCTGTTTGCGCATTTCGGAGCACTCAGTTCCTTCCCCCCTGAACGGGAGGTCATCAACAAAGAGAGACAATCAGGCGCTTATCGTCTATCCGCGTATTATTTAGCTAAAATGGTAGGAGAATTACCTCTCACGATTACTTTACCGGCGGTGTATCACCTCATCTCGTATCCTATGTTAGGTGGGTGTCCAAAATTTATTGACAGGTTTTTCAAGCTGGTGTTATAGGTTTCCACTCACCTTTCGTGTTTCTCACCCTGTTGGGCTTTCTATTGTTAAACACCATAGTTGCACAAAGTGTGGGCTTCTTCATTGGGGCCTGTTGCATGGACATGCAAGTTAGCATCACGATCAGCGCCCTCTACACGCTGGCAACACAACTTTTCGGAGGTTACCTTGCCACTAACATACCAGTCTGGCTGACTTGGATGAAGTACATGTCGATGGTGCATTATGCGTACCAGAATATGCAAATCGTCGAATTTAGCGAAGGACTGCCTATTTTGTAAGCTTCATCTCTGGAGAAAATTATTTCGGACTAATTAAGTTTGTTTTAGATGTGCACATCAGTCCAAGTTTACGGTTTGCACCGAGTCAGACCATATCCCAGTGTCAGCCATATTGGAGGCTCAGGGATCGTATCTTCCTCTATGGGCCAACACTTTTGTCTTACTAGCCTTCTTGCTTGTCTTTCGTATCTTAGGCTACATCGTACTGCGTTACTTCAAAGCTCCCAAGTGACCCTAAATTAATTCTTGTATCGTTCAATTGTGATAAAAATACGATAGATATTAGTCGTGGAGACGACGTAAAATCAAAACTTGACGCATTTTCCCGGAATGCTGTTAATAAATTAATGGACAGTTGGTAGTGACTGCGTTTATGAACAGGCTGTGCTTCATGTAACTCATTCGTGTTACTTTTATTATAAGTTCTTAATTTTAATGGTTCATTCCAACTTGTTTTTAGTATAAAGAATTTTCTGATTTCACCCCCGCGTTCCCTCTCACCGCCTCTGTAGGGTTGAAATGTTTGTGATGAATCTGGCTGTAAAATTCTTTGTAATAACGACAGGTTTTCGGCTTATTATTTTTATTTAAAAGGAGGAAGTGTGAGTTTGCACAGTGCCTTGGTTTCTTTTCGTTTAAGTATTCGATGTGCCAAGTATCGACAACCAGCTACGGCGACTGCCAGATTTTCAAACCGTTCATGTATTAAAGAAGTGCACTGCGTTCTGCAAGGCGTGATAACCGGTAAAATGTTTTGTGTTGTGGTGCTTGAGGTGTCATGCGAGTTACTGAGGCGGCTGTCTCTGATTGCATCACATCTTACGGTTTACGGAAATTTATGAAATCGATGCGGTTGCAAATTATTGGTACTTAATTCTCGACCAAAATTTTTATTTCTAAAAGCAATAAGTTTTGTTTTTGGGTTTGTCACTGGTTAAGACTGGACTGTTTCATAAATTTCCAAATACTCAAATTACTGTATATTTTTGTTACGTTTTATGATTTATTATTACATCACTACACAAAGGTAACTATTGCATTTTTAACTATATTTAAGTATGTTTATTGTTGTGTAATTTAAGTTTTAACAAGCGAGACATTACCTGAAATGTATGATTACCAATCAAGTGTTCAAACACTTAGTCAAAGTTGATGCCCGATTAAACGTCTTATTAAGATCACATAGCTTTTGTAACCTGTACAGATATAAATATATTTATTAAAACAAAGATCTTAATACTGACTAGGGCTGTAATATAACCATATAAATAAACTTTCTGCGAATATTTGCCTTTCTTACTTTTTTTAAATTAAGTTATTCTTTGTATATAAATTTTATTACTTTGGACCAAGTTAAGAACACACACACACAAAACTAAATATTCTAATTAAAACAGTTGGCTTATTATTGTTACTAAACAAATCATTTTTATATACTATAAATAATAATAATTTGTTTAAAGGTACTGTTGGCAGAAATATTTATTCAAATTTAATATAATACTTGTTAGCTAAAACAAAACTTTAAAAGACCAAATTCTAACTGCCATTTTCTCAAAATTATGCCAAGCTGTTGTTGAACATTTGAAATGTTGGAAAGACTAATAATATCAAATGTTATTCATATCATATGATGCTATTGTTTAATATTATTCTCATACGTCTATACTTCCACGTATATGTATAATTGTACAAAGACAGACTCCTTGTATCTACGTTATAGCTAGTCCTAGCCTCTCATTTAACTAGGAACTATTTATATAAATCAATAAAGAGTTTATTAATATGACGCTAGAGTTTTCTTTCCTTTCTTCCAATCCACAATATCAAAACAAAATAAATCTGGTACACTCTTTTTTTGCTTCAGTGTACCACCCACACATAAAATCTCATTATTCTAATTGTCGGTTCATAAAATCATTTCACTGTCTCGAAATGTTGGTTGCATAATCAAATACAACACAACACTTTTCTAGAACTTTAACGCCAAATTTAGAAATAATCATTTCGTGGGTGAAACACGTTTACATTTTGCTTTACAATAAGAAAAAAATTATCAACATTATTTAAAATGTGGTAAAAATCACTTTTTGGAAAAGTTTTTGTATATTAAGATTATACTCCATTTTTTATCTTTAAAATCACTGAAGGAGAAATCTTTAAAAATCTCTCCAAAATGTATCATCTTTTTTGCAGACATTTCTTTAATCGGTTTCAAAGCAGCTGTGGTAGAGGTGGAAGATTTCTTGTTCCGCGAGTTCACGGCCAGACTTCCACTAACTTGTTGAGCTACCACAGCCAACTGTGATGTGTTTAAAAATTGAAATGCGTAAACTAAATACATGAAGTAAGTAATATTTCGCCTATTATTTTTAAAACTACAATTGTAAACCTTAAAAAATATTATCAATTCAATTTTCCTGATGTTTTGATAAGTGAAAGTTTCTTGTGTTGAGGAAACCTGTAACATCCGTGGGGCCATCTATTGGAGCAAGCTCCAGCCATGACTAAAACGAGCCAATTCCGAATCCAAATTTAATTGATAAGAAAAGGTCAGAAAGACGTGTTATCGCCCAGATTCGTATCATATTGCAGTACATTAGCAAAGAATTTGCAAAAATGTTTGTAAATACATAACATTATTTTTATTAACATTTATTATTTTGTTTCAGAAATCCGATTATGTTTCCTGGCCCTTTACGAAGATGTAAACGAGTTTTTCCTGTGATTCTTTTTTTTGTGTCTCTTGTGATAGTAATTGTTTATAGATTAAGTCTGAAAAAAAGCGAAATACATCCAAAACACATCTACAGGTAAGTATTGTATTTTAGTGTGTACTTTCCTAGAAAAAAAAATGTTTTAGGGCTAACAATCAGGAAGAATATGTTGACAAAAATGGCGTTAAGGTAGTTGTAGGTCATTATGTAGGAAACCCGGTTCATGCAATCCCCAACGCGACCTATGACATGATTAATGAAAATAATTACGACCCTAGACCTGGGGCCGGAAAAAACGGCAATCCTGTTGTCATTGAACCGAAAGATTTATTAAAAATGCAACAATACTTTCAAATAAACCGGTTCAACCTTTTGGCTAGTGACAGAATTCCTCTGAATCGGTCTTTGCCGGATTTTCGACGTAAAAAGTATTTTTTTTTCTTTGACTTTGACCAAATCACAATTTTGTTGTGATTGTTTCCAGATGTGCATCTTTATTTAGCGACTATCCAACCTATCCAAAAACCAGTATTATTATAGTTTTCCATAATGAGGCTTGGTCGACTTTACTGCGAACTGTTTGGAGTGTTATCAACCGGAGTCCACCCGAACTTTTGGAGGAAATCATCCTTGTCGACGATTCAAGTGAACGAAGTAATTTTTAGACTGTTTTAGTCATTTTACTAAATTTATTTTTATAGAATTTCTCAAAGAACCTCTCGATGACTACGTTTCAAAACTGCCAGTTCCGACAAAAGTCCTCCGTAGCCAAACCCGGATCGGTTTGATCAAAGCAAGACTGAAAGGGGCCCTCGTGGCTAAAGGCCCCGTTTTAACCTTTCTGGACGCCCACTGCGAGTGCACCACCGGTTGGTTAGAAGCCCTCTTATCTGTGATAAAACAAGACAGGACTGCAGTCGTCTGCCCCGTCATTGATATAATAAACGACGACACTTTCGCCTATGTTAAAAGTTTCGAGTTGCATTGGGGGGCCTTCAACTGGAATTTGCAGTTCCGGTGGTTTACTCTCGGAGGGCGCGAGCTCAAATTGAGAAAAAACGATGCGACTCAACCGTTTAATACCCCAACGATGGCCGGGGGCTTGTTTGCCATCGACCGGGAGTATTTTTTCGAAATGGGGGCTTACGATGACGGGATGAATATTTGGGGCGGGGAGAATTTAGAGATGTCGTTTAGGATATGGCAATGTGGGGGTAAAGTCCAAATCGCACCGTGTTCAAGAGTTGGGCATTTGTTCCGGAAGTCGTCGCCGTATTCGTTTCCTGGGGGAATTAATAAGACGCTTTTCGCGAATTTGGCAAGAGTTGCGCGAGTTTGGATGGATGATTGGGCGAAATTTTATTTCAAATTTAATGAACCTGCAGATAGGATTAAAAACGAACAAAATGTTACTTCGAGAATCGAATTGAGGAGGAAACATCAATGTAAAGGCTTTGAGTGGTATTTGGATAATGTTTGGCCTCAACACTTCTTCCCAAAGGATAATCGATTTTTCGGAAGGATTCGGAATCTGGGGCAGAATATGTGTTTGATCAAACCACAGAAGAAAGTAGTCTCGAATCAACCAATGGGGATTGCCAAAATCGATATGTGTCTTGGTGATGAGGTCATTTTGGAAATGTTTGTTATGACTAAAGAAGGTGCTATTATGACTGATGACTCGATTTGTTTGGACGCACCCGAAAAAGTTGTGATAGGACCTTCCAAGGTCCGAATTATGGCTTGTAGTGGGTACAACAGGCAAAGATGGGTATACGACAAGGAAGTAAGTTGAGTTTTGTATAAAAATTATTTACAAAGTTTCATTAAAATTTGCAAGAATTTTTCCAAACGTAGTCTTCTTCACTCTTTTTTTATACTAAAGCTGGTTATTATTATTTATTTGTTGTATATCGGGTGAATAAAAAGTATGGAACCAAGCATTTTTTGCAGAAACTAATTACTTTATGAAAATAATAATTAGTGCAGTGTAAAGTACTATAAAAATGTGATCGTTTTTTAAAAATAAATTTTTTCGAAATTTTTTTAATTTTCGAGTTTAGCACATTTTTTTTAAATTTTAAATGGCAACCCTTTTTTTTAGACACTATAAACTAAAAATGACCTCGAATTAAATAATAAAATTATTTTTATCGAGTAGATTTTTTAAAATAAATTCTTAAAAGTTTTCTTTCGAACTTATCAGGAAGATTTTCCGAACTTAACCCATATAGTCGTCTCATACATTTGGACGTAGAAGATCACAGTTTTTTGTGCAGATACTTAGGAGTGGTTCCGGATGGATAAAAAAATCCAATAAGAACTCATTTTTTTCATTTTTAATTCATCTGAAACCACCTCTAAGTATGTACCTGCACCAAAAACAGACTTGTCCTAGGACTAAATCCATGAACGACCACTTCGATTAAGTTCCGAAAATCTTCGTGAAGGCAACTTTAACAATTTATTAACAAAAAATTACTGATTAAATAACAATTTTATTTAATTAGAAGTCGTTTTTAGATCATAATCTTTAATTAAAAAAATAGTCAAGGTGAGCTGCCATTAAACATTTTTTTTTGCAAGACACGAAAACAAAAAAATTTCCAAAAATTTTATACTTGAAAAACGATCACATTTTTATAATACTTTAAACAAAACTAACTATTTTTTTGTAAAGTACATAATTAGCTTATGCAAAAATGCTTGGGTCTATACTTTTTTTATCCACCAGGTATATGGATAGGTCAATTTTTTGTTTCAGAAGCAGGAAATTCGTCACTTGACCAACCAAAAATGTTTGGACGTGTCTGACTCGTTGAAATTCACTGAAGGTTTAATAACGACCAATTGCACTGGTAGTATGACCCAAAAATGGGTTTTGGAGAGTGTCCCCTGGCAATAACTTTGTACTTAACATTGTGAAAATGACTTGTCCCTTGGGAATAATTTTGTACTTAACAATTTGAAAGAGTGTTCCTTGTCAACGATTTTATATTTAATAAATCATTTTATGTAATTGCGTTTTCTTGGTAAATGCGAATCGTCTTTTTCAAAGAACGTCGGTAAACTCATGCCACCCATAAACGAAAAACCCATCGACCTTGTCTTTCCTAAACTAGAGCGTCTGCCTTTGGAACGTGCATCATACACAATTACGGCTCTTATTACCATGACAAATACTGATTACGTGTATGAAAAAGTAGCATCGGATGCCATACCTAAACCCTGTGGGAATTATAATGCGGAAAAAAGAATGCATCGGCAGTTTAGTCTTCTTTCCAACCCGTAAAGCTTCATTAGAATGCTATGAATATGGATGAGACGATTGTGTTTATATTTAGAGATTTTTTCGAATCATTGTTGGGCCGTTATCTTGATGAAATCTTCGTTTTTCTATTACATATCTGAATTTGACAACATCCCGCTTTGGTGTGAAGATTGATTCATTGTTCTGAATGACGAAACGGTCATATATGGAGAAAATGGTTCGCACTGTTAACTTTCTCGTCATAAATGGAAAAGCTGAATTTTCAGGAAGACAACTCATTCAAATCGAGGAACTTTGACCCGAAATTTAATTACTTCCAAATGCAAATCAGCTAAAAATCAATTATGAGTCCTTCCGAGTTAATTAAAAACAACAGAGAGGATTGTTTAAAAATTCACAAAAAGCCCACACACGCGTGCTAAACGTGTTAACATCATTAAAGCCAATAATGGAAGTGTTCTTCATTTTCACAATTTTGTAAAGATGACAGAGAGATTCATTCATGGCAATAACACGTAATCGTAAAATAAATAACTCGGCCGCCTCCGCGTGAAAATCTCTTTTGTTTGGTAAATACCTGCCTTCAAGGCCTCGCGGTAAAAATTTTGAAGATTATATTATGTAAAGGTTGTGGGGCATTTCCTGGGTGCGTGCCTGCATACGAGATGGTCCCGAACAATGAATGAAATCCTACACGGGAGTTCAGCTACACTTTTCAGAATTCAAATGCGTAGGCACGCCATTAAATACAGTGTTTATTAATAAAGATAACTCAATTAGGATGAGCCTTGCCTCCCATTAGAAAGTAATCATTGTTGGAACACCCACGAGTACATAATATTAAACTAGTAACAATTAGTTAACTGGATTAAGAGCCAGTGGGAGATTCAGTAGGGACGTTTTTTTAGTTAAGAAATAACGCACGCCACTGGGCTTGTTACAGTTTATTGACTGTGGGATTTTAAAGGTTGGATTCATAAATTATGATACTGATTTTTGTGTAGGTTTCATGGTCAATGCCTGACGGTTCTTTGGTGATAAACCTGATTCTACAAATTAAAATAATGTCATTTTTATCTTCTTTGATTGAGGTTTGCTGAATTTATCCAGTGGATGGCCTCGAACACGTGTGAATGGTATCTTGTCAATTTTGCCAAAAGGAAGAATTCTGCACTAGTTTCAATATGGAAAATTAGTCAGATGTAGAATTCTCCCTATAGCAAAATAGTATCTATTCGTTGATTTTTATTTAGTCAAATTAATTTGTTTTATTTTGTTTTTTTACATGCACAATAAGTTGTTATGATATACAGTTAGGTGTACTTTCATTCTATGGTAGAGCCTGATAAAGTTAAGATATACAGGTGCGCCAGAACTCGCGCCTCAGAGAAAAATTCCATATAGAGTAAGATACCAGGAATATGGAAAAAATGTCAAAAAAAAATTTATCTATAAAATTTTCGAAGTTATGAGAATTTAAATTTTGCACTTTAACTCTATTTATTTCTATTGGAAAAATACTTTTCTAAGTTTTTTTGCTACAAGCTATTAAAAGAGGAAACAGGGAAGCTGTAACCTGAATTGTATCTATGTTTAATGTTATTTGTGGCTTTTATTGGCAAATTTTTTGTATTTTTACTAAATAATTATAAAAAAAACACATACAAGGTCATCAGAATCATTAAATAGATATGAAAAAATGTCAAATGTCAAAAAATAAATGTCAACATTTTTTGACAGATAGAATTTTTTAAACATTTTTTCCATGTTCCTGGTATCTTATCTTACTATAAATTTTTCTCTGGGGCGCGAGTTCTGGCGCACTCTGTATACGAGTAGATTGTGCAAAAAGTGACAAAATAGCCCTGCTTTTTTCCGTCAATATATCTTGAATTTACTAAACTCTAGTTACTGATACCAAAGATGAATAATTGTTGTATCGATTTTTGAGTGGGTTTGTGGTCAAAATTTGATGGTTACACAGTGATAAGCTGGATTTTATAAATTATAATACCTAATGTCATTTTTATCTTATGACAGAAAATTGGAAAATACAAGCAGTGGATGGCCTCGACCATTGAGACTATCGGAAAAAATGCGGCGTCTTTGTAGAAGTGGGACTTTTGGGAATGAAATAACTTAAGCAAGATGTTTGTGAAATTTATTAAAATCTAGATAAAACTGTATCTGTCGGATATAAACATATCATTTAAATCCATTTTTTATTTGATTATCATAATTTTGATGTTTGTTGTGAAAGATATGAGAAAAAAATTATAATACCAGCTGTGTGGAATTTTAACTATTTATTCAAGAATTTCCAACAGGTTATCCGATCTTCCACATCTGCTTGATAATTCGCAATCCCTCAACCAAATAATTACAATTCGCTTCATAAGTGAAAATGGTAGCCTGCTGGGCAACACCTCCATAACCCATGAAGACTCCACCGGCACCCATCGCACGCTCTACTCGAGCGTAACTCGCACAAAAACAATGTAAAAACGGCAAATTGCCGCACATTCCCTTATGTAACCGAAATTACCGTTTGCATCAAGACAGGCAGATTACATCGAAAGTACTTTAGGCACGTGCTTTCTAGAGCAACGAAAGCGAGATTAGTGGTCGACCAATTCCAATTACGCGTTGCTCCATCGGATATTATTTGCATGCGATTTGCAAATCTGTCAATGGTTTTTTCTTCAGAGACGTGCTCCTTGCGTTGCACGCCACGTCTCTGTACACCCTAATAAGTCTGATAGGTGCACGTGTGTGTGTGTTCCATTGTTCTCCCGATTGCAAAAATGCACCTGTCATACCACGTGTTGAACAATCAGAGTCGTTCTCTAATGGCCACTTGCGTGGGGATTTTCGCGGAAAATCCGGTTTTTGATTGTTTATAAATAGGTGTTGCCCTTCTATGTGAATTTCCACGCTTGATTAACAAGGAGATGCCGGTGACCTGACCTGAGCTATTGCCAGTAGAGTTTTGCATCTTCATGGCACCACGCCCAACGAAGCTTCCGCAATCCGTCGCCTGTGCTTATGCTTTTATTATAATATGCTTGAACGCATGTACGAGAGAAGCGATCGCAAATCAAACATGTTGCATGCAGACTCCTCGTTCCGATAAATAACCATATTTCTAAACTCTTCTATACACTTTGTTACTTTGATTTAAGCTGGATTGTTGGTGTAGTAGCCACACGATCGTGATTCGATTTCTACGACTTTATCTTATATAACCGCGCTTATCACACGCTTTATGGGTGACCTTTCCTTCCATAAGAACACACCATATTTATCCAGATGGGCACTGAGTTGTTCCGTATTTTCCACCAACGCTGTTTTCATACGAAGAAATTCATTTTGTAACACATAAAAATGAATTAAACAAAATTTTAAATGTTAATCAAACTATTTTAGTTTTGTTCACAAATATTTACGTGTTTCTTGAATTAAAAAAAATTATTGCAAATGAGTTTTTAAATTAGACTTTTAATTTGGGCAATTATTTTGCAAATTTCGGGATTTCAAATTTTATTAATTGAAACGGCAAATAATTATATATTAATTACATTTAAGACTTCACAAATGTTCATATACAGGGTGTCAGAACTCCCGCCCTAGAGAAAAATTTCATGTAAGGTAAGATAACATGAACATGGAAAAAATGTTTAAAAATTTTTGACATTTATTTTTTGACGTTTGACATTTTTTTATGTCTGTTTAATGATACTGATGATTTTGTATATGTTTTTTTATAATTAAATAAAATCCACAAATAACATTAAACAGAGTTACAGTTTAGGGTACAACTTTCTTGTTTCCTCTTCTAATAGCCTGTAGCAAAAAAACTTGGAAAATTATTTTCCAACAGAAATAAATAGAGTCAAAGTGCAAAGTTTAAACTCTCATAACTTCGAAATTTTTATAGATAGAATAGATAAAATTTTGTTAACATTCATGTTCCTGGTATCGTACTGGTATTGTACCTTACACTGCATTTTTCTCTGGGGCGCGAGTTCTGGTGCACCTCTTTGGATCAAAATCACTACAACTTTTGTCGGATCTGTTGGTATCACTAAAACTAGAATTTTATTTTTTTTATGTCTACCACAGATTGCATATTTCCTGTCTTTTTAGTGGTTCCCCAAATAAGAAAAATATTAAAGAACAGCTATGGTAATTTATCACAAAATGAAAAACATGGTTGGTGGTAGGTGCTTGTAATGCTAGTAGTACCTAAGTATAAGAGAAATTACGAGTAAGAAAAGTGCAAATCATGAAGAGACTGTTTGCAATTTATTGAAAAATTACCACAATGGGTGACAACGTACGGCATCTTTTGCTAGTTTTTGAAGCAAATCATATCTTTTATTGAAATTACAAAAAAAAACAAAATAAGCATAAAATAATTGAAAATATTAGATACAATTTTATTGTAATTCTCCTAAAAAAGTAAAAGGTTTGTAGCATGATTTATTTCTCTATTTTTCCCAAAGACTCCTACTAAATGTGTGATTGTTATTACTTATTAGGCACTCGAAAAAACACATCACGCACTCAGTACTCCCTGAAGTTTCAGTGCGTACTTTTAATCAAAAGTTTTTGGTTATTTGCTGACGATGGTGACTCGATATAACTAAATTTTACTTTAATTTACAATAAAAGTTAAAACAAAAACTATTCCATGGATCGATTAAATTGATGATTTCCAAAGCCCATTTTGTTGAATTCACACTCAA